ACTCTTTCCAACGATGTGGGAAGAAAGATGTCACACAAGATGTCACCTTTAAAGAGCAATTAGCAAAATAGGCCTTGTTTTGAGAAAGCTTTGATCGTTTTGAACACATTTTTCTCCATCTAGTAACTTAGGATTTGTATCTACTGCAGAATTATTGCTTCAAATTTATCATGTTTGGGTGGAATATTGGACAGGGGAAATTATGTACTTGTCTATTAAGGTAGGGCTAGGAAGAGCCTTCAAGTTAAAGGCTATGTTTCCCATCCAACATCTGTCAACACACGCCATTAGAAAGAAGAAGAATTATGAAGTGGAATAAAAAAAACTCTTTTATTGATAGGATAAAGCTTTTAACTGTCGGATTATATTATATTAAAAAACGTATGACAATCTAAGGAGATTTAATAAAAGTCTGACTATTAATAATTAAGTCGCGCTAATAAAGTATCTGATAAGTGCACGAATTTACACTTTTAATAATTATAATTATCAAATTATTTTATCAAATTTGTGATTTAAATTTAAATATTCCTAAATCTAGAGGATTTAATTTTAATTAGATTTATTTTAGAGAATTATGAAGTGGAATAAAAAAAACTCTTTTATTGATAGGATAAAGCTTTTAACTGTCGGATTATATTATATTAAAAAACGTACTAAGGAGATTTAATAAAAGTCTGACTATTAATAATTAAGTCGCGCTAATAAAGTATTTGATAAGTGCACGAATTTACACTTTTAATAATCATAATTATCAAATTATTTTATCAAATTTGTGATTTTAATTTTAAATATTCCTAAATCTAGAGGATTTAATTTTAATTAGATTTATTTTATTTTTTAGGTTTTTGAAGAAAACAATTGGATTTGGGCTAGTTTACCAAACAAAACCCAAAAGTTGAGCCCAAGAAAAGCCCAAATCGGCCCATCAGCCCATCGTCTAGCCGAGCCGAGCCGAGAAGCCGCGAGCCCATCCCAGCCGCCACGTGTCGATCACTGCCAAGGTCCCCTCTGCCGCGCCGCAGGTCAGTGGGACCCAGCTGTCCCCGCGCATACGCGCGCTTGGCGCGCACGTCGTTCCCTCCGGGCGAGTTCTCCTCACGAGCGCATCAGGCACACTTCCTCTTTCTTCCGCGTGGGTCCCGTGTGCAGCAGCTCTCCAACCACGTGACGCCACGTGGTCCTATGCCAGCTGCTCCCCCGTTGCTTCCCCACGCTAGTAAGCGCGCTTTGCGCGCACGTTCTCCCTCCCCGCGCAAGTTTCTCTCCCGCGCGCGTCCACTCTCCCTCCACGTGGTCCAGCTGTGCACCACGTCTCTCCCGCGCGTGAATCACGTTGCGACACGTGTCCCACTCTTCAGAAACGTGATGGTTTTTCTCCCTCGATTAAGCCTTGTAACTTCTTAATTAGGATCCAGTTTTATGCTTTTTAGCATTCTTAAAACTTTATAAATAGGGCCATTGTCAAAGTGATTAGGGGGGATTTTTAGAGCCTAAATTCTCATACATTTTCTCTTATTTTCTTGTTCTTATTCTCATACTTTCTTTTTAGAATTTTATGAGAATTATGTGCAAGCTAGGCTAGAGTATTTAGGTGAGGCTAGAGATGATCTTATATGTGTAGTGATCTTATTTGGATTTTTTATTCTCCAATGGTTTGTAAGTTTTATACATTTGAGTAAATAATTTTCTTTTATCATATTTCTTCCTCTTATCAATATATTTTATTGTCAACTTTCATATAAATCTAGTCAAGCTCTTTTTATGTGATTGTTGCATTATATTATATATTGATAGATATTGTTTTATGAGTAGTCTTTTACTGCATTATTGCCAACGGTATATTGTCGCTCTTAGATTTCCAATAAGATAATTTTTCCTAATTCTAAACGTTAGAATTTTATTTACTCGAATACATTTTTAATTCATATGTTCTTCAAATATTTATTTTTCGATTGTTTGTTTGGGATGTGAAACTTTCAATTGAGTCAATTTATGAATCAAAATCCAAATAGGTGAACAAAGCATATAGAGGATTCTCAAAGCCTTACCACTTTTATTTATTGAATTTTCTCCATTTTAAATTGTTCAAAAAATCATCAAAAACACTCATTCATTTTCTTTGTTTGATTGCTTACTTTCCTAACGCTTTTTATTTGCTAATCATTTTTTATTCAATTTAACACTTCCTCGTGGGATCGACCGTTCAAATTGTACTACAATTGACCGCTTATTTTTGTACACGTTTGGGCGTAATCAGTACCTTAAGATAAAATTCTCCTAAAAGGAAAAGAAAGTTTCTGGCTTCATATATCTCTTCCCCACCTTAACACAATTGCAAGAAAGTTATTGTTAATAGTAGAATTTCGTCAATAAGATTACGCCGGGTTATCTCTCGGTGGCCCGTTGGGTTACCGGCCAAAACTTGTTATATACTTGGATTTATACAACTGGCTGTGTTTATTTTTGAGATATATTGTAAGATGTATTGATTTGTTGTTAGAACGGAAGTAAAGAGGCACACGAATTTATAGTGGTTCATTCTATAAAAAAGAGCTACATCCACTAGTCCTTTGTATTTTTTCTTTTGTACTTTTAAGATTACAAAAAAGCTCTCTCCTTTCCTCTATGGGCCTTTGCCCTTTTTATAGCCTATAGATTACATATGGGTCTCTTTTTGGGCGGACTGTCACAGGGGGGGTCCCTTGATGGTTTCTCTCAAGTAGCTTATTATCCTACATACCTAGACCGTAGCTTTTCAGCACTTTTTGGACTGCTCACTCACCCACTTTGTCCATTATTGCGGCTCTGCGATCCTCTGTGATTCTCATTGGTTAATTCTAGGCAGTTTATGGGCAGGTAATCATTTCCTGTGTTACTGACCTTCTCCAAACCCAAACATAACTTAGGGATTTCCCCTTGTCCCCTCAGAGGCCTTTCTTGGGACGTGGACCCATATTCATGCTGTCTGCCCTCAGCGCTTACACTATACTTCACAGGGCGCGACCTCTGCCTTGGTCGACCTCCTCATGGCGCCGCTTCTACTGCGAACACATCACGCATGCCTTGATTGTATGTAGTGTCGACAGTTGTATGAATCGTCCCATACGATCGGCCTTTTCATCAGATGGCGGAGGGGAAAATGAGCTTTAGGCGTCGACCGCTACCTGACGTAGTGGGTTTTGAGCCACGTGGAGCATGGTCGTCATCTGACGTGTCAACGGATATTTTCCCACATAACAGTCTCGATCTTGGAAGGATCTACAGAAATTTCTTGTCCTGATATCACATGTCCAAGGAACTTCACTTCCGTCAGCCAGAAGTCACACTTCTCTTTCTTAGCATACAGCTGGTGTTCACGAAGAGTCTAAAGAACAATTCTCAAATGCTACTCATGTTCTTCTTAAGTCTTCGAATAGACCAGGTGTCATCGATGAAAACAATCACGAACTGATCTAGGTGCGGCCGGAAGACCCGATTCATTAAATCCATGAATGCAGCTGGGGTATTCGTCAGCCCAAAAGACATCACCAGAAACTCGAAATGTCCATACCGAGTTCTAAAAGCAGTTTTCAGAATGTCTTCCTCCTTGATCTTTAGTTGATAATATCCTGACCTCAAGTCAATCTTAGAGTAATATTGTAATCCACCCAACTGATCGAATAACTCATCGATCCTCGGCAGCGGGTATTTATTCTTCACATTTACCTTATTCAATTGACGATAGTCAATGCACAACCAGAGTGATCCGTCGTGCTTCTTCACAAATAATACAGGTGTACCCTATGGAGAAGTGTTATTCCTTATATACCCTTTTTCCATTAGCTCCCCGAGCTGCTTATTCAATTCCTTCATTTTTGCAGGTGCCATTCGGTAGGGAGGAATAGAGATAGGAGCCATTCTCGGTATCAAATCAATGCCGAATTCAATCTCCCGATCCGGCGGTAATCCGGGTAACTCATCGGGAAATACATATGCGAACTTATCCACCACAGGAATTTCTGCATTATTTCCAATTATCTCGGGTCCCCCTTAGAGCAAGAAGGAAAGAAAAGCAAGCCAGGTTTCTCTGTCCCCCAACGCTATATCGCAATAGTCGTTCTTCTATGACTGGGTTCATGTCCACTTGATAAGTGATTACCGCTCCGGAATTGTTCATCAAAGTTACTCTCCTACGGTAATATTCGACAATCGCACTGTATCTTGCTAACCAATCCATTCCGAGTACCACGTCAAACAGACTCATTGGAAGGATTAGTAGGTCAGCTCTCAATCGCTCACCCCCAATCGTGATTTCACACGATCTACACATGTTAAGCACCTCCACACATCCCAGTGGGGAGTTCAACATCATCGGGGTTTCCAAATTCTCAGCTTTCAATTTCAAAGTTTGTACAAAAGCACTTGATATGAACGAATGGGTAGCACCAGTATCAAACAATACATGTGCTAAAGAATGAGATATCAGAATCATACTCTTTACCACCGTATTGCTGGCCTGTCCTCCAGAACTGCATCCTGTCAAGGTATAAGCTTGTCATTGCGCTTTCCCTTTCCCTTTATCACCAATATTAGGCCGTTGGGTCCCTGGCCTATATTGTTGCGGCAGAGGTATCTGCACTGGTCCTGACGCTTGAGGTCAAAACTGTGGATATTGAGGCAGATGATAAGCTAGCACAGAAGGGTATGGCATTGGCATTGGCAGTTGTGGCTGATAAGGCGGCACAAACTGCGGTGGTCTTCATTGATCGTAAGAAGCCTCACTCTGAGATTGCTGAGTCGGCAGCTGATTTCGATTTGGACAGTGCCTCCTAATGTGACAAACTTGCCCACAATAATGGCAATTGGGTCTATAAGGACCACTTCTGTCACTTCTAGAGAAACCACTGCCACCACTGATTATTTCTCCGCTAATCTGACCCTAATTGCGGTTTCTTCTACCACTCCGTTGTGGCCCACCTGAAGCAGAAGGTCCACCAGAAATAGAATCTCGACCAGCTGCTTCCTTGCTTTGCTGATAAGATAAATTGTCTTGTTCCACGCTTGTAGCAGCAGCCACCAGGTCTTGAAAATTTTGAATTCTTAGAGCCACCAATGGTCTCCTTACAGAATTCTTAAGACCCTTCTCAAACTTAAGGCATTTCAAATGCTCAGACTCCACCAGAGATGGCGCAAAGCGGGACAAGTCATTGAATTTTGCCTCATACTCCCTCACTGACATATCACCTTGTAGCAAGGACATAAACTCCATTACTTTCTCATCTCGGTAACTCTGTGGGAAGTTTTGTTCATTAAAGATAACTTTAAACTGCTCCCAGGTCATTCCTGCAACATTAAGCCTTATCCTCACTTGTTTCCACCAAGTACTTGCTTGGCCTTCCATCTTATACACCGTAAATTCTACCCAATACTCCTCCGGCACTCCCATAGTGTTCAGGTGCTTTACGATGGAATCAAACCAGTACTCCGCTTCTTGGGGTCTTCCCTCACTATTGAATGTGGGGATATGTCCACGTATAAACTCACGGAAGTAACTCTGCTTCCTATCCTCAGCCGGTAGCTCATTCTGAGCTCGAGTGGCCATGCCTTGGAAAGCAGCATACATAGCATCCATGAACTCTTGATTTTGTGGTGCCGGTTGGTTAACAGATTTACGACGCGGCGGCATCTCAATTAACTGAAAAGAAACTAGACTGTTTAGTAGATTTCTGATGTCACACATGTATGTACAATCATGTGGTTCCTAAACCTAAGGCTCTGATACCACTCTGTCACGCCCCAAAGCCGGGGTCGGTGACGTGGAGGCTCGATTAGGGATTAAACGCGATTAAGAATAAAATATTAAGGAAATTCCCAAACGAGCCCCACATTTAACTGAAAATAAACTACGAAGAAGAGGTACTAACTTTGAGCCTCTGACATCTCTCAGGGCTTCACCCACAGGATACGCAGCATTGTACATACATGAACACGTAAATAACATTATAGACATTAACCACAGTCTAGAAATCTAAATATTCAGAGTTTACAGAATTTATAAATTCTTACATTTGTACACAGGGAGGATGAACATAATTCTTACCAACTCAAGTAGTAGCAACTAACTCAGCTACTCCGCGCTGCTCCTAGAGTTGCCTGGGAGGGGTTTATATTTATAAAATAATAAAACGTGAGCGAAAGGCCCAGTAGGATATATTTTGAAATAACTTTGTAAATACGTAAATAAATGAGTAAACAAGTAAGAAAATAAATAAGTAAAAGAATAAATATAGACATTCAGTTCCAACACAACAGCCGGAACCTAACATCCTTTTTCTCAAAGGAAATATAACTGAAAATCTCTGTATTACAGGCATCAACAAGTAATTTATACTATGATAAATTACTTACACAACCACATGCACAAGCCATATCACCCCGGGCCAGGTTTCGGGTCTTGCCCCTAAGGATGCACTCTTTACATCCTATCTAGGCCATCAGCTGGTTTATCAATTTGCAAGATCTCTTATCTTAAGAAATCATTCATTAAACTTTATGAAACAGTTCATTATACTCCCTAGAACTACAACAAGCCATGGGGGTTAAAACGTTTTTCTTTCGCAAACATGCCCCTTTCTTTAAAACATTTGCAAAGACAAAATTCTTTTGAAAACAGCCTCACAAAGGAAGGGATAAGAAATCCTACCTCACAAATATCAAACATGGCTAGCGTTGCACTATTCCAGTTTTTGCTTCCTCAAAGCCCCTCAATCCAAGTCCTCAGCTAGCACTGATACAAAACCACACTTTAGGATCTAATTCTCATTCTTAAAGCAATTCAATACCAATCATACACTTCAATTTCCTATTAGTGTGCCATAATTCAATTACTGGTTTCACAAACCATTTCATGTTTCAAATCATCATTCCAAGGGTTTTCAATATCAAAACATGGATTAAGAAGCTAATCCATTCACTCTAGGTCCCCAAATGAAGCTAATTTGGGTTATCCTCGAAAACTGAGGTCAAAACAGGGTTTTTCAACAAAACAGGATCAAATCCCCTGTACATCGATCGACCGGTGACAGAGCAGTGCAACACCACCGGTCGACCGGTGGTGTGCACTTCGGTCGACCGGTGGACTCAGTGTAGTCCGGTCGACCGCATAGGTCGACCTGTGAAGAATAGCAGGGCGAGGAAACTCGCCAAACTAGTTTGAAAACCTGCAATTTCAGTTTCAAATCAAAATATCTCAAAGGAAAACTACTAGATCTGGGTTCTAAATACTAAATCAAGTCCAAAGAATCCAAGATCTCTAATTTCTACCATGGTTTTACTCAAAATCCATCAAAATCTATTTCAAACCAAAAATAAGTTTTTAAATCTGAAAAACTTGAGATTCAAGAGAGGTTTTTCAAAAATCTTACCTCAAAACCTTTTCTTAGCGTTGAAAACTTCTTGAAAATTTTCCTTTGGCTCGAAATCCGGTTTAATTTGGTGAAGATTTGAACGTGAGAGAGAGGAACGAACGAGAGAGAGAGGGGGAGAGTGAAAACGACAGGAAAGAGAGAATGCACGGGATAGAAAAAGGAAAAGAAGAAAAAGGAAAAGAAAAGAAAAATGGACAGGTATCAATTATTCAAAATGACAGTCCAGAAATGTACCCACACACACTTTTGGAATAAAATATAATTACTGAGAAGATTTAAATACCTTGAAATTATTTAAATTTACACATCAGAAACATTTACTAATCAATAATCAATTAATTAAACTAGATTAGGCACACTAATAAATCTTAATTACCTTAATTAATCTCATTTAATTCTTCGGGGTGTTACCCTTTTTAAGATAAGGTCCCCTCAGAAAAATCGTCTCCGTCTGACCTTTTTGTTGTAGTAGCGCCCTGTTCTTTGTTGGTAAGCGGCGAGTCGTAGTTGAGAGTCGATCCTTTTTTCTTCCAAGAGATCGAGCTCTCTGTTCATTGCTTCGACGTTTGCGTCGTCCTCGTGCGCGACCGTTCTTAGTGTCGACGTTTTACTTTCCACGGGGAGTACTGCCTCGACCCTATACGTCATAGAGAAGGGTGTTTCGTCTTGTCCCCTCAGAGGCCTTTCTTGGGACGTGGACCCATATTCATGCGGTCTGCCCTCTGCACCTACACTATACTTCATAGGGTGCGACCTCTGCCTTGCTCGACCTCCTCATGGCGCCGCTTCTACTGCGAACACATCACACAGGCCTCGACTGTATGTAGTGTCGACGGTTGTATGAATCATCCCATACGGTCGGCCTTTTCATCAGATGGCGGATGGGGAAATGAGCTTTAGGCGTCGACCGCTACCTGACGTAGCAGGTTTTGAGCTACGTGGAGTATGGTCGTCATCTTACGTGTCAACGCATATTTTCTCACATAACAGTTATGTACCTTTTTCAATGATCTTTTTCCATTTGCTAGTTGAGTTGACTTTTTCAATGGACCTTGGATGCTCCAAACCAAACTTCAAATGAATCAGAGTTTGAGAGGAAAAAAAGTTATATGTGACTGTTTATAAAAACTTTTTATTGTAACAAAACTCAAATTTTAAATTTAAATCGGTAAAATGAACGGGGTCAAAGAGTATTCAGATCAGTTCTAATAGTGGCAGAAGCTTTTGTGTTTTCAGTAGTTAATTAACTTCTAGAGGTTGAGCACAAAAAGAAAATGTCTAGAGATCACAATTGCTAAAATACATCATGGTTTTTGTCGTTTTCTTTTGTGTCATGAGAATGGAAGGCTACTCAAGCAAACCGTATATACCACCACTAAGCAAACTTAAATGGATTAGTTAGGAGAATATCATAATCAAACAATTAGACGTTTTATTGTGTATTAGTTTGGTCCACTGCTTTCCTTTAATGACCTTTATGAAGCACGTTTCCTCTGAGAGCTTTTTTTTTCCTGTTCTTTATTGGGTCAGAACAGAGAAAAGACCATCTTCTGTAATTTTTTTTTATTTAAAAAAGCGAACTAGGAAGGGCGTATGTATAGGCAGAATTTTTTTAAAAATTGCAATGAAAGGCCAAAGAGAAAGGGAAAAATAAAGCACAGAAAAGAAAAGAATTAAATCATACACTTCATTAGAAACATGACAGATCATAAGTCACGGTAGAATAAAGTTAAAGAAAATAAATTCTGACCATCTATCTAATTAAGTATCCAAAAAGTATTTAATCAATCACATAATGGCACAACATTTAATGGTTCAATTATTAAAACAAAAGAAAGTAAAAGAAGAGATTTCAAAATTTTTAAATAACCTAGTATAAAAGTGATTGCTTAGACGCTATTAAACTTGAACACGTGATATTAGTCCGCAGACAGTTATTCTGGTACATCTTTTTGGTAGGTACAATGTTCTAGGCCTTAACCATAAAATTGCTTGTTCCCCACAAATTTCCTCAAGACTTGCTTTTATGGGCTCTGTATGTTTTCTACTCTTTTATAGCGTGAAAACCATGATACATGCCACTAAAATTTCAGCCACGAGATGATGGGAAGAAATGATCTAGCAGTTAAAAAAAAAAAAAAAAATGTGGTCAAGTTTTAGCTTGTCAACTACTTGGATTTCTTTTTTTCCATCTTCAGACTACTTAAATTAGACTCCATGATATACCCATTAATGTACCACAGCTTTTTTCCTTTTTATGATATTGTAGGTCCATTTGATAGAATTTTTACTTTTAGTCAATAAAAGAGAAAAGAGGTAAAAGTGCGACTTTCAGTAAGTGTTTAAAATAAAATAGCTTAATGGATTAAAATAATTACTAATTAGAATGAAGTTCATAATGCTTTAACGAAGTTTTGGCACAAGTATTAAAGTCTTCTCAAAAGTTTTTTTTTTTAATTTAAAAAAAGTCTCATTTTGTGGTTTTGACTGGAAGCTTTTTTGAAAAGTAGAAGCGCTTCTCATTTTGTGGCAAGGTGATGTTCAGCGCTGATTGGTTAGATAAATGACATCAAAATTTACGAGGTAATTTGAATCCTTATTCAGGTATTTCTTATTTTCATATTTTCTCTTTTCTGTTTTTGTTTAAAATTTTTTCTTTTCTTTTCTAAAGCACTTGGAGTGGAAGAGATGTAAATTTAATTACAAATATAAAGAGGACGGAAGTTATGCTGATTGATGAGGCTTACCTACATATTTTACAGTACATGCCTGAAAAAAAAAAAAAAAAATGCTACAAATTTTGGCTGGGTCCCTGGCTGCCTGGCAATAGCTGTGCAATAATTTAGTCTGGCCTTGTGAAAAACTACATCGATAAGTTATTCTATCTAATAGTTTTATAATATAAAACCGATCCAGCATCCAGTCACTTCATATCTATAGAAAAATAAATAAATATTTTCCACCGATAACCTGAAATTATAATTGAGCATTAGAGTTGAGCAGTGAACGTGTTTGAAGTCTTTGAAGCACAAACTAAAAGCATTTAAAGTGCGCACAAATTCACAATTTATATTTGATATATGACCACTATTAAGCACAAAGTCTTTCAAATAATAAAATAAAAAATAAAAATAAAAGATCTGAACCCATCTTCCTTGAAGTTTGTAAGGTCTGACCAAGCTGCTTTTATACATTCCCTTTAAATTTGAACTTGAAAGATTCTTTCCACCCTTGGCATGCTTTTTTGCTGATGACAAGAAGATTTCATAACAATATGCAAAGAAATAAAACAAAATCATGCAACACAAAAGCATAACAAGAATGAAAGGAATATCTCATTGGGAGATACATTTTTTAACCCTCAAATTTTCATTAAGTTTCGTTAAATTATCATATCTTATTTAATTTGATAAGGTTATGATTTATACTAACAGATAAAAATTATACATGAACTTAATCTGACGGTTAAAAATTATATCCTATCAAGAGGATCGCATAATTCTGTAAGAATAAAGCCTTAATGTAAGAATAGAACATTATACGTAAAAGTCATCTTTACGTTGCTAATTGAACAAAAGAGCAAAGGGGTCCATGTGACCATGACTTATGTATAATCCCACGAAGGCTACAAGGCTATTATTAAAGCATAAAGTTATAATATATATCTAACCTAATCTATAACATCATTTAGCCAACAACCTTTCTTCATTATTAGCGCCAGAGATGGCTTTTTAGGGAATAACAAAACCATCTCATTTGTACTTTTTGTTGCTTGGAAGGCTTTTTTTTATTATTTTTTATTATTATTTTTTTTTTCAATCTAAACACAAACCAAATCCCAGAATAGAGTTTCCTAAAGATGGTTGCTGTATTCAACAAGGAGCTCTTGAGTTGGTACTTGATCACCCTCAAACTCAGAGAAACTGTAGAGTCTGGAGTTGCAGCCACGCCTAGCTCTGTCAAATCCATTGAATTCCCTGATCAGCCTCAACATGTCCAAAAACAGCAACAAGAACCATCTGAATCCCTCCAAATTGTGGTAAGAAACGACAACGAAAACGACGAAGAGGGCCTAAAGTCGCCGGAATCCGAGTGGGTGATCTCAATCAAAGAAAAGCTAGAACAAGCTTGGCAAGATGATGTAGCAGGATCATGGACAAACCTCTGCATTTATAGAATTCCTCACTACTTGAGAGAAGGAGATGACAAGGCCTATTGCCCACAGATTGTCTCCTTGGGGCCTTATCACCATGGCAAGAGGCGCCTTCGCCAAATGGATCGCCACAAGTGGCGTTCTCTCCAGCACATACTCAAGCGCAACAATCAGGACATCAAGCTCTACCTCGACGCAATCAAAGAGCTCGAAGAAAGAGCCCGCGGTTGCTATGAAGGGTCAATCACCCTAAGCAGCAATGAGTTTGTGGAGATGATGGTGCTCGACGGCTGCTTCATTCTAGAGCTATTTCAGGGCGCTGCAGGCGGGTTCAAGCACCTTGGGTACTCCCGAAACGACCCCATCTTCGCGATGAGAGGGTCAATGCATTCCATCCAAAGGGACATGATCATGCTTGAGAATCAGCTGCCACTTTTCATACTCGATCGCTTATTGGGGCTGCAGCTAGGAGAGCCTAATCAGACTGGACTAGTAGCCAAACTAGCACTCCAATTCTTTGACCCTTTAATGCCAACAGATGAGCCATTGACAAAGAGTGGCAGGAACAGGCTGGAATCATCAATTGGGTACAGAAAAACATTTGATCCGCTATCCGAACAAGATGGTCTCCATTGCCTTGAGGTCTTCAGAAGAAGTCTCCTTCGAAGAGGGCCACAACCTGAGCCAAGAGTCTGGATCAAGCGCTGGTCTCACGGCAACCGTGTCGTGGATAAACGGAGGCAACAACTCATACATTGCGTCACGGAGCTAAGAGAAGCCGGGGTCAAGTTCAAGAAGAGAAAGACTGATCGGTTCTGGGATATAAAGTTCAGCAATGGGATACTCGAAATCCCGCGCCTCTTGATCCACGACGGCACGAAATCCCTCTTCCTCAACCTCATTGCCCTTGAGCAATGCCATCTTGATTGCAGCAATGACATTACTTCCTATGTCGTCTTCATGGACAACTTGATCAACTCTTCTGAGGACGTGGGGTACCTCCATTACTGCGGAATAATCGAGCATTGGCTCGGCAGTGACGCTGAGGTTGCTGATCTCTTTAACCGGCTATGCCAGGAGGTCGTCTACGACATCAATGACAGCTATCTTTCGCGGTTGTCGGCCGAAGTTAACCGCTACTACAACCACAAGTGGAATGCCTGGCGTGCCAGCTTGAGACACAACTATTTCAGCAATCCTTGGGCCATCATTTCATTTTTTGCAGCGGTTATCTTATTGTTGCTAACTTTTGCTCAGTCCTTCTATGGAATTTATAGTTATTACTACCCATCACATTAAGATGCTTTTTTTTCACTTTTGGTTGGACAGATGAACAGTTTTTGACACCAAATTAAAGCTTACGGATTGCTTGGTTTTTGTGTGACTTAAACAATGAGAGTTTCTACAAATATCTGACTGCTATTATAATAAGCTTATATTTTCTTCCAAGTTGGGAATGGTGTTCTATGTGTCTGATTGTCTTGTGTATCTAAGATTTTCGAGAAATTCCCAAATGGGGTTTGGGAATCTGATCTCAAAGCATCATTTTCGTATACCACATTGCGATTTGAAATTTGAAATGGACGAATCGAATAGAGGTGCGTGATATTCAATTATACAGTCTTGGAAAAGAAAAGGCAAGCAATTTCGCAGCCACTTTATATGCCTTGGAATAAGAATTTTGATTATTCGAGCCAATTGCTGAAAAAAGAAAAAAAGAAAAAAAAAAACCTTCGATTGTTTGTACCTGAATGCTTGTTTCTTCAGAGACGTTGAAAAAGGAAATGGTTGGAATCATTTCAACCTCCGCCGGAGCTAATTTCTGCGCCGTCGATTGTTAACTCTCGGCCCTTGTCGTCCTAATGTGTGTTTCCGTTTTTCGGATTAACGTCGTTTCTAGAGTCGATGTCGTTTTACACTTGTTGCCTACTTTGCCTTTTCATGTTGTTTCGGACTTCATATTAGTTCTTTATATTAACGTCGTTTCTCGAGTTGGCGTCGTATTAGCCCAATCCATGGTGCCCAAAAATGGATCGGACATGGTGCACTTGGCTATTGGGTGTTTAAAAAAAAGGAGTTTTCCTATTAGAATTTTAAAAAAAAAGGAATAGCCACAGTTCTTTATCTTTTAGTTATTAGAGCTGTATCAAAAATTATTTATTTTATATATTTTTTTAATTTTATTTAATTTTGATCAAATTCAACAATTAAAAATTAACGCTATTTATAGTTTGGTCTATCAGAAAAGTTCTCTAAGAAAAAGAATTCTCAACAATTACTATAAATTGACATTGTTCTTGATTTTTTTTTTCTTTTCTATTGATATCTTAGGGATGGCAATAGGACAGGAAGAGGTCAGGGTCGAAAACACTCCTCCCATCTTAATATCTTACCATACTTTTTCCCCATATCCATCCTCATACCCACTTAACATAAGGCGGATTCAGGGTCATAGAGGTGTCAAATGGGCCGGGCCGTCCATGGACGGCCCGGCCCAGCCCGTAATAGTGTCTAATTCAGCACGGCCTAGTTCGTTACTATTACGGGCCGTGCCGGCACGGCACGTGTAATGGACTAGGCTGGGCCTCAACTTCTCAGCCCGCGGCCCAAGCACGTGGAGGCCCGCGGCACGGCCCTTATTCGGCCCGGCCCAAACCTTAATTCGACCCTTATTCAGCCCGGCCCAAGCCCACGAAACAGCCCATTTCATTTGGTCCAGTGGGCCCTTTGCGGGCCCAACATTCGGCACGTGACGGGCCTCCCGTTTGGCACGTGATGGGCCAAACGGGAGGCCCGTCACGTGCCGAACGTTGGGCCCGCGAAGGGCCCAACGGAAAAAAATCAAATTTTAACCCAAAAATCCCCTATAAATACTCCTTAATTCCACCATAAATCCCACACAACAATTCACTCTCATCTTCTCATCTCACTCTCATTCTATCTCTCAACTTGTCTCTTTGATTTTGATTCTAAGCTTTTTTCTCGCGTTCATTCATTTTTTAGCTCTTTCATTTACAAAGTTCTATCAATTTTCAGAAAATGGCCTCACCAAACTTTCCTGATTTCATTGCTCTTCCTGAGCTTGGTGAGGATACATTTTTTGAGGAAGAAATGATGCCTTCCAACCCCACCCCCACTGAACCAGAAAATGCTCTGGTGGATAATGCTTCAGTATACAACGAGGAAGCTGGAGAACGCAGCAGAGGAAAAAGACCGCGAACTTCTCCGGCATGGCA